AATATAGTTGGTTTCTTTGGATGAGTGAGTGATACCAACTTGTTTACGTATATCAATAGTTCTGATCTCTCATGCAGAACGTCTCAAAATTTATTATAAAATAAACATGTAGGTGTATAATCAATCAATCATTGGCTGAAACATTGCTCTTTTCAGGAGTCCTGGACTGTAAATTCCACCCTAGGCAACCTTGGTTATTTACTGCTGGAGCAGATTCTGTGATCAAGCTCTATTGCCACTAATTAGATGGTACGATCGTCCTCAAATAAATGAGTTGCGGATCAAGCGTCAATATGCGGCTAAGGCAAACAGGACAAATTTTGACTTATGTGAATTGAGCTGTATGCTCTTTCCGTCTTATACGACAATTAAACACATGCAGTCCATTTAAAATGATGGACTATTGACATATTATTGTTGGCTGTTAAAGATTTCCTCCTTTTTGCTCTGTATCCAATTTTGGTCATGTGGGTTATGAAATGCGGAATCCCATTATATATATCTTGTAAAAAGAATGCTAGATATCATCCTTTTTTGGGGATGTGTGTTTTTGGTACCGCTTCTCGTATTTTGCATGAACTAGAGAAGTCATATTAGATTTTTTCGTCCGTCCGATAAAGAGGGTTTGTAATAATAGAATGCGCGCGATATGCACCCACCCACCCTTAACATAGTAGTGAGTTTTTACTGTAAAGCAAAAAGCTAGAAGATACGTAGATACACCAGGAGATAATCGAAATGGAACTCAAGTTTGTAATGCAACACGTAAAATCTCCGCTGCTGCCTCAAATAAATTTTCTGTACATTCAATTATTGAAACTGATGCTAAAACATTGCGGTCGGGACTGTACAGAACGTAATTAATTACCCAGGGCAAATGTCAAAGCATCCCTCTATGCCGTATGGATCATGCTGGTCTTTTTCAATACTACTTGATTTGATTCTCCTTTAACATAATTCAACATTTTCATACTTGGCTGTCCAACAACATTCAAGTCTGGGATCACAGTAAAAAGTTGAATGTGATGGTTTGCCTTTTCTACATTTTCTTCGTTCAACTCAAGGCCTGTTTCCTCATCTGGTATTTGATTCAACAGCAACAACTTCAGGGATCTTTTCCATTAGTCGACGTTCAATGCCCATTTTCATTGTCATTACCCTGTAGCTTGAGCTTGACAACATTGCCATCAATTTCATGTAATGCCACAGGGTAGGGACGAATTTCAGACTGCCAACATTGCCATTCTTTTGTTCCCTTGCATCCTGGTAAATACATTTCTTCCCATTCTTCTTTTCTTTGTTTTTTTGCACCACGAACATACATGCTGTATAATCAATATTTTTTCGTAATTTTCAGCTTTGGTCTGAAAATAGAAAAGGTTTTGCAGCAAGACATCTGTTCATTCCAGGTTAGTTTACCTTTGATTTGTATCATTAATTTGCTGAAATTTTGTTAATATTATATGGGCTGATATTTTAAATATTTTAATATTAATGTTATGTGCCTATATGTTTGGCTATTTACTCTTATGATAAGTTTTTGCTTATGCTTCTTAAGAAGATATAGCTGCACTTTACTGGTTTTATTTTATGTGGTATTTTAAGGCATCGAAATATTCATAAAGTATATTTGAAAAAACATTATTTCTTATTGGCCGAAAAAACAATGATTCCCCCCCCCCCCCCCAAATTATGCTTGCTCTTCCGATTTACATTCTATGTACACTATCTCATCTCCCAACCATGCAATTCTTTTTTTTTTCCCCAGAAAAAGGAGAGAATCAAAGAGGGGAAAACACTATACCTCTCCCCTCCCCGCCCCTATCTGCTTTCCTAGCCAAAAACACGAAGAAAAACTCACATTTTCGCATCAATTTTCAGCCATTTGATGAGTTTATTGTTGAGTTTTTCTAGCCTTTTTTTTTCTTTCCAAAATTGACCTCCTAGCATGAATGTTTGCTTTTGTTATTGTTGATTGTTTTGTAGGTTTGAAAGAATCAAGAAGAAGCACAGCGAAGTAAACATCCAGTGTTTAAGGTGTGTGATCATCTCTTACAATAGTAGCATGCTTTGTGTTTGATGATTTGCTTCTAAAGGTAGCTTTACCACTACACTAGTTTAGTTTTCTGAAAATTTACGTGTCCCATTGTTATGGAGTATTAAATGATTTGAGAGATGTTGTTTAGCTCACTGTTTGGTTCTAAACAAAAATGATTTTACTTTTGCCTTTGTGTTTGTTTGCTGAATGATCCTTTAATGTCTTGCAATGGCTCGAACTATCTTTAAATTCCATTGGAAACAATACTTTGATAGACCTAGAAACATTAATTTCATTAATTGTTTTTGACTTTTATTGCATTGTCATGTTAGTGACTATCATAGTTTGGACCAAAGACCAGCTAAAGAGTAGTTTCCCAGGCTCCCAGCTTCTACTGTCTTGGTTCTAATTTTCCACATGTTTTGGGGCTCAACAAGTAGAAGCTGCAGTCAATCATGATTTGTTTGATATAATTTGGTTTCTGTTTAAATTTTGGTTTTAGGAACTGGTCATGCACTGATTAATTTCTGGCACAGATGAGCACTTCTGAGTTCCATACCTTGGTTCATTGAAAGGGGATTATTCAATGGCTGGATCCTAACTTTTTTGTTGTTTCGGACCGGTGGTGGCCCGCAGGGGAGGGGGGGAAGGGACAAAGATTTCTAACATATCTCAGTCCTCAATTATTTTGCAGCTTCCTTGTTATATTAGTTTCTCTGATTTTGCACATGGACGTGGGCTTTGCTTTAATTACCCTACCGCTATAATGCTTTACACATGGATATGGTTTCTGAACATGACACAATTAAGATCTTCCATGTTCTATTAATTTTAAAAAGGGATAATTTCACAAACCTCCCCTGAGGTTTCTAACACTTGCACTGAGACCCCTCCAGGTTTTAAAAATTTCACCTATCTCCCTTGCTTTTCAAACTTGGTAACAATTCAGTGCAATTAGGATTAAAATATTACTATCATGATAGAGATGACATTTATATTCCATGAATACCCTCTTCCTCCCTATATTAGTATAAGATTGCTTGTTAATAAAAATGTAGAGATGATTATGGGTATTTTATTTTAAATCATTTAATTTATGTTAAATACATAAATATTTGCAAATAAAATTCAAAAGCCGTTACACAAATATTTTTACGAAAGAAAAACTAGCATGTTTTGTATTTAATATAAATGAAGTATTTGAAAGTAAAAAAAAAAAAGTCCATAACATACCAATTCTTTACGAGTTTCTTCCATTATATGAATAAAGTACTAGCTATTTATGAGTATTTTACTTTGAATCATTTAATTTATATTAAATACATAAATGTTTATAAGTGAAATTCAAAAAGTGTTACACTAATATTATTATGAAAGGGAAACTAGTAGGTTTTGTATTTAACATAAATTAAATACGTGAAAGTAAAAAAGAAATTACCCACTTTTTACCAGCTCTTTACGGGTTTCTTCTATTATATGAATAAAATATTAGTTATTTATAGGCATTTTACTTTGAATCATATAATTTATGTTAAACACATAAATGTTTGTAAGTAAAATTTAAAAAGTGATATACTAATATTTTTACGAAAGGAAAACTAATAGGTTTTGTATTTAACATAAATTAAATACGTAAAAGTAAAAAAAAGAAAGAAATTGCCCATAACATATCAGCTCTTTATGGGTTTCCTCTATTACACGAACACTAATTTGTCGATATTTCTAATTAAATCTTCTTTTTTCGAGATTGTCTATATTATATATAACAATAAATTCTTATTCTGTTCCTCCACAGAGAAGGGTTTCTTTCAAGTTACAAGATAAGAGCCTTTTCCACTCTCTCTTTGATTACATTCTTTCTAGCTATATAAGTATGTATATTTGGATGTATATTTATCAGATCGTGGCTTCATGTACCAAATGTTTTGCATCTGATATTTTTGTGTGATGGATGTGAGAAACAGACTTTCATTTCCAGTCTACTATTTATACTATATTTATTTTATTGAAAAAAATAGAAATTATTTCTTTTTCTTTTTCAAAGGAGTTTTAGATTTATTTGAAGGAAAAAGAGATAGAACTAACAAAGAAAATACTAAAGAAAATAAAAAAAGAAATTAATAAAAAACTTTAATTTAAAGAATCTCTAAATTTCTTTATTTTTCTCAATATCACGAACAAGATCTAATAATAACATTAATTATTAATGGAACAAACGAGGGGTTATGTCTGAGGGTCGATTGGGGGTGAGAGAGGTAATAGCTATTTATGAGCAAAACGAAATATCCCATAAAGTACCAACTCTTTATGGCCTTTGTCTATTATATGAACCAAGTACGAGATTTTTATGGGTATTTTATTCTGAATCATTTAATTTATGTTAAATACATAAATATTTGCAAATAAAATTCAAAAGCCGTTACACAAATATTTTTTACGAAAGGAAAACTAGTATGTTTTGTATTTAATATAAATGAAGTATTTGAAAGTAGAAAAAAAATTGTCCATAACATACCAGTTCTTTACGAGTTTCTTCCATTATATGAATAAAATACTAGCTATTTATGAGTATTTTACTTTGAATCATTTAATTTATATCAAATACATAAATGTTTATAAGTGAAATTCAAAAAGTGTTACACTAATATTATTACGAAAGGAAAACTAGTAGGTTTTTATTAACAAACAATCTTATACTAATATAGGGAGGAAGAGGGTATTCATGGAATATAAATGTCATCTCTATCATGATAGTAATATTTTAATTATAATTGGACTGAGTTGTTACCAAATTTGAAAAGCAAGGGAGTTAGGTGAAATTTTTAAAACCTGGAAGAGTCTCAGTGCAAGTGTCAGAAACCTCAGGGGAGGTTTGTGAAATTATCCCTTTTAAAAATGAGAGTTACAGGGAATTTTTCAATATTTTTTCCACAACAAATTGGGCATGGGCACAGCCAGAAAATTTCTAGTAACGAAAGATAGCTGTAGAAATGAAATCTCATCATTTGCTTAACCCTAACCGCCTTTATTATCTTGCCTCGCCACCAGCCGGCTGGCCGTCTACAGACTAGGGTGGTCGAAACAATCCTACTGAAATCAATTCTTGATCCGCTGCCATGGGAAAGAACGAGTTCCTGACGCCAAAGGCAATAGCGAATAGAATCAAAGCAAAAGGCTTACAAAAACTCCGATGGTATTGTCAGATGTGCCAAAAGCAATGTCGAGACGAGAACGGCTTCAAGTGCCACTGCATGAGCGAATCACACCAGCGGCAGATGCAGGTTTTTGGCCAAAACCCTAATCGAATCGTCGACGGCTATTCCGAAGAGTTCGAACAAGCATTTCTCGAACATATGAAGCGTAGTCACCGCTTTAGTCGCATCGCCGCCACCGTGGTATATAACGAGTACATCGCCGATCGCCACCATATTCATATGAATTCAACTCAGTGGGCAACTTTGACGGAGTTTGTCAAGTATTTGGGGAGGACTGGCAAGTGTAAAGTTGAGGAAACTCCGAAAGGGTGGTTTATTACTTATATTGATCGTGATTCGGAGACCCTGTTTAAGGAGAAGATGAAGAATAAGAGGATTAGGGCTGATTTAGCAGAGGAGGAGAAGCAGGAGAGGGAGATTAAGAAGCAGATTGAGCGTGCCGAGCAGCTGATGTCAGCTGGGAATGAGAGCGGGAATGGGAATGAACAGGAAGTTCAGGAGAAAAGGTTGTTTGAGAAATCGGAGGAGAAAATTAAGTTAAGTTTGGGATCATCGTCGAAAAGTAATTTGAAGGAGGAGAGTTCTATGGTTGTTTTTGATGATGTGGAGCATGAGACTAAAAGCGACAAGGGGAATAAGGGCAGTGGAAAGATGGGGAGCTCAGTGTTGGATGAGTTGATGAGGGAAGAAGAGAAGGCGAAGGAGAGGAGTAATAGGAAGGATTATTGGTTGTGTGAGGGGATTATTGTGAAGGTAATGAGCAGGGCGCTGGCAGGAAAGGGGTACTATAAGCAGAAGGGCATGGTGCGGAAAGTGATTGATAAGTATGTTGGGGAAATTGAGATGCTAGAGAGTAAGCATGTCTTGAGAATTGATCAAGAAGAGCTTGAGACTGTGATTCCACAAATTGGGGTACCTGTGAGAATAGTTAATGGGGCTTATCGTGGGTCAAATGCTAGGCTTCTTGCTGTTGATACAGATAAGTTCTGTGCTAAGGTGCAGATTGAGAAGGGGATTTATGATGGTAGGGTGATTAAGGCGGTTGAGTATGAAGATATCTGCAAATTGGCTCAATGAAAAATGTTGACAAGAATGTACTAACTGTATTGTGATCAAGTGGTAATTGTTCTGCTTTCCAGAGTTGTTCAGTACCATGATAGACTGCATCTTTTATGAATGATTGCAATCTTTTTTCTTGTGATTATATTAAGCAGTCTGCTCTGTTTCATGCCATTCTCTGTTTTTCTGATTGTGTTAAGCATTCCGGTCTCTGCAGGTTATGCACCACCTTTCACGCTACTTGTGCTACTTGTATGAATGAGGGGCCTGGAATTGTTAAGGTCTGGTTCCTTAAGATCACTTCAGTAAAACTCTTTTGCATTCTTCATTAGGTTGCCTGAGTTTTATAGGACATTCTTTTTCAGCTAGTAAATTACTTTTTAGTAAAGTTGAGGGTTGCTTGGCTCAACAACAAGGCAGCAATGAAATTCTTTCATTCATCTTCTTGTCAGCATAAAAAAAAAACGACAAATTTAGTCAGCATCTTGTTGTCTCATCGAGCATTCTAGACAGAAAATTGCAGTCCTCTCACAATACCTCCTAGAAGGGAGGAGACATGGGCTGTGCCTTGACTGGGGTATTACCAGGCAGGTGTGTAATCTAGACAATTCAGAGAATTGCAAAGTACGTTGTGTTGAGGTTTTTGACACAATTACAGTGGCATGAGAGTTGCTCGGTTGGATAACTGGGAAGTTATTGTCAGGTACTATTTTCACAGAACAAGCCAGATTTAGAATGAAAACTCCTTAGGTTGCTGCATAAGTTCTGTATTCCAAAATGACAGGCAGTGAAAGACAGACGTGGTGTACCAAAGGGATATTTTGAAGTTGGTTTGAGACCCCTGGGCCCTGGCTGCTGTTCTTTCCTTAAAGTTGTAGTAACATTTACTCATTGGTTGAAATTCTTGCAATATCTTTTTTAATTTATTTAAATTGTGAAACCCTACTTTCCTTATAATTTTAGCTGGACAAAAAGCTATAGAGGATCAAATTTTGAAACCCATAAATTCTGTGATGCAAGTAGGGGTGGGCAAAAAAACCCGTCGATCCGAAAACCCGATGAACCCGATCCGATCCGAAAAATAGGATACCTGATCCGATTTTTCTTAGCGGGGCAGATGAGGGTCGGGTACCCGAAAAATCGGGTACGGATACGGATCAGAAAAATAAAAACCCGCGGGTACCCGACCCGCAGGGTATATTTTATAAATATTAAAAAAGTAGGGATCATTTTATAATTTTGTAATTTTTAATTCTAAGTGCAAGTGAAGTGGCTCGCAGCCTCATATTCTAATCCTATATGATCTACTCTTCTCATTTTTTTTGAAGAAAGCGAATATTCTTGGTGAAACATGAACAAAATGAAAAAAAAAACTCTGTTATAAAAATTGTTCATCCCTTTCATCTTTTTTATTTTTATTCTACCTCCATCGATCTTTCCTGCAAATCTTGCATCAATTCAATCAAAGATTTTTGTTTGGAGTTTCAATTTTCTGTTAGCTAGATAATTAAAATATTTGTGTCATTCATTTGCAATTATATCTCTTTAATTTGTCTCTTTTATTTAGTGTAAGAAATTTATTTTTCTTTTTCATCACCTTAATACCATAAGGTCTATTCCAAAGATGTAAAGAAGTTGGGGAAGATTTTTAACATTATTTTGGTTATATTTTTTTCAAAAATAATTAGTTCTATTCAATTCTTTTCCGAATTTGATTTCACAATTGACTTATTTGAGATGCGATCTTGTACCATATTATCCTTGGGGAAGTTACCAAATACTTATTATTCTTGTGTTTGTTGTGTTGTAGAAGTATGAAATGTGTGAAAATGGTGATGTACTCAAAATTATTATGAAACTTCGTTTTGTCTATTAGATATTCTAATATGTACTAAATTTATGAGATCGATTTGATTATTGGATGAAATGTGTGAGAATGGTGATGTATGGACTTTATTTACAATATCTCTACCAATATTAATTGGAAAAACATGTTTTTTTTATTGAAAAACATGTTGATATTAAGTAGAAAATAAATTTTTTTTATTGAAAAATAGTTTTTTTTAGGGGCGGGTACCCTATGACCCGCCCCTTTTTTTCGGGTACCCGCTATTCGGGTACCCGAAAATATTAGGAGCGGGTTAGGGTCGCAAAATGGCTGATTCGATATATTAGGGTCGGGTCAGTCAAATCATGTTAGGGGCGGGTACCCGACCCGTGCCCACCCCTAGATGCAAGTACAAAACTACACGAATAATAAAAGTTCGTAAAGTGCTCCGCATCACTAAATTATCGAACCATCACGCGATGCGTGGAAGACAAATAAAATAACGGATCTTGGCCACAATTTCCTTGTGCTTTGCTTAGTAGTAGTTAGGCCACCAACCATTTCAGTTGTATTACCTGTTTAATCGGATCTAAATCTTTAGCAGACAGCATCTACCAATTGCCGTGAGGAACTTCTTGGAGAAAGCTGCCTTTGTCGCAAGGGTACGTACTTGTTTGGATTGCGAATTTTGACGCAGAATTTTTTTTTTATTTCACATATATCACATCGTTATAGTTTATTTTTTTTTTTTTTATAAAAATTCCAAAAACTTACAATTTAAACGGGCTCTTTACTTTTCTATTTTCTAACTGTGCTAAGGCTCTTTTGTGGTCATCCAATGCAAGAACAATTAATTTTTGTTACTTCCAAAAATTTAATCCAATATTCTCTCAAAGATATAAAAGTTTGATAGAACTATAATTCTTTGGTTAGATGAGGTAGATTAATGTTGGCAAGTGTGATTAGGTTGAGAGATTGTCAATCTGATCATTCTTCATAACTGATAATTTGTGTATAAAATAATGATCCAAAAAAAAAATATTTTTCTTTGGTTGCTTTTCTTAATGATGCACATCCATTGTTCTAACTAATATTAAAAGTAGCAAGACTTGAGGCATGGTGTTCTTCAACACAAGTCCCTTGTATAACAAGTATAGACGTGTGCTTGGTTATACTTGGTCTGTTTGAATACAAATTTTTCCTTCAAATATTATTTTACTTACATTATAAACACGTTTTCTAATCACCTTTTTATTTTTTAAAAATGCTATAATAATTATTTTAAATAATATCTTATCCAAACATACTATTTATTAGTTAGGATATGTTAATTGTGGCAACTTTTGAGCTGCCCATAACGTATGTTGTGAACCTTTATAGCCATTATACGATAAGAAGTAAGCTTGGCAACCAAAAGCCACGAAACACAAATAAAATTTGCTACAAAACTTGGTCATTAATAGGTACTCCTGTGAATGAAAAATATTTATGCACAAGATACTGATCCCCTAAACAATTACAATTGTTTGAAGTGGCTGCAAAAAGAATAAGGAAAAAAAAACTAATTTTGGATTTTTAGAAAAATATAGTATTCTCACTAGCTACATTATTATTTCAGAAAACTTTGTACGAAAAAACGATCATAAGGTCCCAAGCCGGATCTTAGTGGAAGCCAAGCCAGATATTAAGCCGGATCGTGGTCAAAATGGTCCTGAAATCAGGAAAACCAAAACGGTACTAGCTAGATTTGGCTTGGATCCTCTGTTTTTGCAGCTGCTGCTGGATCCAATTCTGAATCCGATTCTGGGTTCACTTGGATTTGGGGCTGGATCTTTACAAACGGGTCAGAAAATTGTGGTGCCATTTCACCTTAAATGACAGTTATATCGGCACCAAAAGGTGCGCCTTCACTAGACATTTTAACCGCACATTGGGACATGTATGAGAACTCATTTTCCTTTTACATTAATAAGTCTCTTAACAATTAAACAACTTTTTGTATTTTCATCATTTCTTAATGAAAAAAAACTTGGGATTTTGCTATCAAATTCTCTCTCGTTCTTGTTATAGTAACAAATTACTTAGTGTAATGGAAGCAAATAACACCTCGAGACTAGTATAACACACGTCTCAATTTAATTTGTATACCAAATACGTCAATACAAACAAATTTCGTAATTATTATATATATATATATGAATTATTGAAGCATGCATATGAACCCTTTTTTTTTCTATTTTTTCTTCAAAGGATAATGGCAAGGAAGGAGAGCCCTGCTACTGCTAAGTAATAATGAGTTAATTCTGCAAAACCTCAATTTAAATACAACAATTTTTCTTTGTAAGGAAAATAATAATAGCTTCTACAGCTGCAATAATGTAATTATTAACGCTTCTTTAAGCAAAAAATTGGTGGAGACAATTTTGTTTTGGTTAGATAGAAACCAAGCATTTTATTTTAATAGTAAATCCAATGTTTTCTGAATCACACATAACTTAATTAAAGTTCTTCATGGAGCTCACAAATAATTAGTGGTGTCAAAATCTACGTCATGTCCCATGATAGCTAAGGCATCAGCTGCCTGCTGCACTAAGCATTTTAATAAATACAAACCATGATTACATATGCTGAAATATATATATATATATATATATATACTGAAATGTCTATAAATATGAAGGCCTTTGTTTCATTATTTTCAATATCAATAGACAATATGTTCTTTTCCTTCAATTGGTTTACAATGTCGTCCCCTTCTATCAATTTTTACAAACTTACCTTTTGCTCCTTTGTGGATTTAAATCTAGAGGACAGCTAAATAGAAAACTTAAAAGATAAACTATTTTCACATTATAGTCAAATAACCTAAAATAATGTTATACAGAGTTTTAGAAACAGTTAGAAGTGGATTACAAAAAAAAAAAAAAAATCATGAAATTTTAGCCTTGTAGAATCGATTTTCAACGGTAGAAAATTTTTAATCGTGAGTAGTAAGTTTAATAGTTATGTTGGTGAATAAAATTGGGATTTTTCTAACGAGTGCCTTTGGCATTTTTTTAGACACTTATATCTTAAATTACACGTAAATTACTGTTTATATGCACACATTTACATTTATGGTCCCCAAATTAAATATTTTTTGAAATTAGTTTCACTTTTGCCAAAAAAATTAACACTTGAATCAATGTCCTGAAGGCCTATAAATTAATATCCTAGTTTTTGAAAAACTTCTGCTAGTAATTCCCCAAATGAGTTGTAAATGACCATTTGTATATGTGATATGATGAAAAATCACTATGCTTTTATTTTACCTTTTAATTCATCTTTTGGTTCAAAATACAAAGGGTAACTTAAAAATTAGACTTAAAGGTAACTTCCATAAACGGTAATTAAAGGTAATTAGACTTAAAAAACCATTAGGAAATTAGAGGTAACTTCCATAATATAAACTACAAGGGAGATATTGGTAATTCACCTCAGTATCAGCAACAATATAGTGATATACATTAGAACATGAATTGGACACTCCTAGCTGTAATTTCCGAACCTTAATTAATCTACAAGCAACAAGCGTTAAGATTATTCAACATCTAAAATGAATTGATATGATTAGTGGTACTCATTTTTCACACATTTCATACATTTATGCATTATTCTACTCAATGTATAAATCAATTCTTCTTAGGCAAAAGTCATCATTACAATACTTGACCTTTATAATTATCATTAGGCTAGTGGTCTCTACAGACAAGGTGTGGTAGGTTAATAACTTTGATGTTCTTCTTGCTTGGGTCAATCAAATAGTTGAGATGTGTCACCTAAGTTGGTGGAGAAAAGCATGTTCTAAGACGTGGGATTGCTTCATACTAAAATTGAAAGAGTTCTTCAAGAAGTGTATTTCTCCTCTTCCTTCAACAGCCATCCATAAGACCAGGTTAATTTGAGTGAAAGCTGCTGTAATATTTCATCCTCTTCAGGAGTTGATTTAGCCCAGATTTGCTTTTTATTGCCCAGATGCCACTTTTATCTCAGTCCTGCCTCAGCCTTTTCCGGGGGATCATCCATTCCGCCAGTTCCTGATTTTCAGGAAATTCTTGGATAGATTGCGTT